GCAGTGGAAGTAGTGAGCGGTGGTCATATTCTGGTTATATTTCGAAGGTAGAGCTGAGAGGATTTGTTTGTGGGTGTGAGAGAAGAGTCAAAGATGGCCTCAAGGATGAATGGGTTGATTGATATGGGGCAGGCCAAGGCATAAGTCCGGTTTTAGTCATCTGGAGTTGGAGATGCCTGTTGGACATCTGAGTGGTCATGTTGTCTGGAACTCATGGAAGAGGTCCCAGGGCTGGAGGTATGCATTTGTGAGCCATTAGCCACAAGATGATATTTATAGCCATGAGGTTGGATGTGAGTCCCAAGGGGAGTGAAGGTAGACAAGAGGCAAGAGGACCAAGGATTGAGCCTGAGGATCCTCCCACATTTAGGGGTCGGCTAGTCGAGGAGGAACCAAAAATGGGACAGAGAAAGAGCAGCCAATAAGGTAGGAGGAAACAAATCCAGGAGTGTGTGGTGTTCTGGAAGCTAAAGGAACAGAGGGTTTCCAGGATGGAGTCATCAGCTGTGCCCAGTGCTACTAATGGGTCAAATTGGATGAAGATCAAGACCTGAACACCAAGCTGAATGATATAGATGACATTGATGACTGAAAGGAACAGCTTTGGAAGAGGGGCAGGGACGAGGGAGCCGGGAAGCCTGACCAGAGAGGGGTCTAGAGAGAATGAGAGGAGAGGAAGTGGAGACAGCAAATGCACACAACTCTTGAGGAAGTTTGCTGTAAAGGGAAATTAACAATTGGAGTGGCAGCTGAAGGAAAAAGTGGGGTCAAGACAAGATGGATCTCTCAGCATATTGGGGAGGTGGCAGAAACGACCTGGCCTGTAGGAAGGAAGGATGGAGGGGGGTCAGTAGAAGTTCCCTCCTGCTGACTTTAATTTTCTCAGAACAGTAGGGCCCCATCATCCCAGTGCAACCCAACTCACCCTGTCTCAAATATTTCTCCCACCCACCATGTCCTCCCAGGTATACCAGTTTTTCAGCTGCCTCCCAGAGGACAAGGTCCCCTATGTCAACAGTCCCGGGGAGAAATACAGGATCAAGCAGCTGCTACACCAGCTGCCCCCACACGACAGTGAGGTGAGGAGAGAGAAGACATGTCAGATTGGGGGCACAGCCTAGACAAATGCTTAGCCGCTGGAAAGGAATGGATAGGGTCAGTAGGGTCAGAGGAGGAAAGGTGAGCTGATCTGAAGTGACATGCCTGGACAGGCAGGGGCAATCAGGGAACACTCTTTGGCAAAACCACAGTTGGGCCTTGGGAGAAGACGTAAAGGGGTAAAAAAAAGAAAGGGGTAAGGGGTGAGTATTGCAGGCAGGAAGCACCACCTATACAAAGGCCTAGAAATAAATTCTTTGAGCCTGGATGGAATCTGGAAGAAGGTCGGGGCGGGGCAGGCATCAGGGGAGGAGCCTGGAAGATCCCCACTACTCCAGGCACAGTACTGCACGGCACTGGAAGAGGAGGAGAAGAAAGAGCTCAGAGCCTTCAGCCAGCAGCGGAAGCGGGAGAATCTGGGGCGTGGCACCGTCCGCATCTTCCCGGTGACCATCACTGGAGCCATCTGTGAGGAGGTGAGACATGGACCAACCCACAGTGGCAGGGCCTGTCTCTAAAGCCCAGTGATGGGTGAAATTTGTCTCTAAGCCGCTCCCCCACCCATGGGAGAAGCCTGAACTTAGATCTTACCGTTAGGTGAGACCCATCACTAAGGTCCCTCCACTGGGCCTGGCCTGTCTGTATGGTTTCTCCCAGGGCAGGGTCAATCTCTAAGGTGCCTTCTCTCACCCCCAAGCCCAGCCATGTAGGCATGGGTCTGTCTCAAAGTTAACCCCTGGATGGGGCCAGTAACAAAGGCCATAGGAAGGCCCAAGTGTGACACATCTCAGCTGACCCCCATCTGTCTGACCATCCTGGTGATGGGGACGATATCCCTCTGTCATTTGGCAGTGCGGGAAGCAGATTGGAGGCGGGGACATTGCCGTGTTTGCCAGCCGTGCGGGCCTGGGTGCCTGCTGGCACCCACAGTGCTTTGTGTGCTCCACGTGCCGGGAGTTGCTGGTGGACCTCATCTACTTCTACCATGCTGGCAAGGTCTACTGTGGTCGCCACCATGCCGAGCACCTGCGCCCGCGCTGCCAAGCCTGTGACGAGGTTTGTGCCTCTCTGTCCACGGGTGAGAACGGAGGGTGCACAGGGCCAGGGGCACCCCATTCTGACAGTCACAGATGGCCTGTGCCCCCCAGATCATCTTCTCCCCTGAGTGCACGGAGGCTGAGGGCCGACACTGGCACATGGGTCACTTCTGCTGCTTTGAGTGTGAAGCATCCCTAGGAGGGCAGCGCTATGTTATGCATCAGAGCCGCCCCCACTGCTGCGCCTGCTACGAGGCCCGCCACGCGGAGTATTGTGATGGCTGTGGAGAGCACATTGGTGGGTGAATGTGAGACTGGACGGGGAAAGATGGACAGCTGGGCCACAGCCCCACTCCCAGTGTTCCTCCTGCTTTCCAGGCCTCATCCCCCATTATACCCTATACTTTAAGTCTAGCACCAGCGCCATAACCCTATATCCTTAACTGTAATCCCATCACCAATGTTTCCCATTATGCCATACTTTCTAAACCTCACCTACAAAACACTAGGCACCACTGCACATCTAGGCCCACCTCCAGAGTGCCCTCTAATTCCTAGCTTCCCAGGGAGACCCTCCTACACTCTCAGTTTAGCCTCTACTCTAAGCCATGCCCTATTCTCCAAGATTCTCCTCCATCAACATAGGTAAACCCTACCTTCTAAGCCAGACCCTACCTTCTAACCCCACTCCCTTCCCACCAAGGCCACATCCTACCTTCTAAGCCCTGCCACCACCACCCAGCCCTCTTCTTCAGGTCCACCTTCCACTCTTCTTCCACCTGAAGCCACCTCTTAATGTCTAAGCTGACTCACATCTTTGACTCCAATGCCCACCCCTACTCTGGGAGGGGCCACCTTGGTAAAGAAAGGGAAGCAGAGGAGGAGACATTTATCAGCCCGTTTCCAGGAAAGGAGGATGAGGATCTCTGGGATGAGGGCCCCATTCTTGAGAGGTGTGGGGAGAGGGCATCTCTGGGTACCCTGCCTCAGATTCCCTGTCTCTTTCCAAGAAGGGCCCCCATTCAGGAGGAGTAGGGATATACCTGGGGACTCCGCCTCAGTTTTCCCCATCGTGTCCATCCCTACAGGCCTAGACCAGGGCCAGATGGCTTATGAGGGGCAGCACTGGCACGCCTCAGACCGCTGCTTCTGCTGTAGTCGCTGTGGGCGAGCCCTCCTGGGTCGCCCCTTCTTGCCACGCCGTGGCCTAATCTTCTGCTCTCGAGCCTGCAGCCTGGGGTCTGAGCCCACGGCTCCGGGGCCTGGCCGCCGCAGCTGGAGCGCGGGCACGGTCTCTACACCTCTTGCAGCCCCCACAGCCTCTTTTGCGGCGGAGGGAGCGTCCGACACCTCCACCAAAGGCACCAGCACTGAGCCAGCGCCTGGTGAGCTAACCCTCAACCCACGCCCAGCCACTCCGTGTCCCCGCCCCCGCCTCAACCCTGGCCCCTCCCCCTGACTCAGGCGCAGGCCATCAAACTGTAGCATCCCTGGCCCCGTCCCCGTCTCAGCCCTTGCTCCGTCCCCAAACCATTCTGGGCCAAGTCTCCATCCCAAACTACATCCCCACGTGAACTCTGGTTCCGCCCCACTGTACAGCGCCCTTCCCCTACCTCAGCTAGTCCCTGTTTGAGCCCAAGTTCCGCCTCCTTTCCTCCAAAGCCTTGACTCCTCTCCCTCCGCCCAAGACCCGCCCCCCACTCTATCCCAACATTGTCCGCCCGTCTTTGCCACGCCCCTTTCGCCAGAAGCCACGCCCACCCCTGGCCACACCCCATACACCGATCCAGTCCTGCTCCTCGGGCCGTCAGCCTCGTTCTCCACCCAGAGCATGCCCCAGGCCTTATATTTCCCAAACCCCCACCTCGCTGCCCCTCTCCGACGCCTGCCCCCACTTTCCCAGTCCTTATGGGGGAAAGGAGAGAGAAGGCCATTCCAAGGCCTCCTCTGGGCGGGGGTGGAGAGGAGGGAGATAACAGGCAGTTGCTCCATCTCCTTCTTTCCAGCTTCAGGCCCCGAGGAGCCTACCTGCTTTCTGAGAGGGGCCCCCCACCGCCACTCCATGCCAGAGCTGGGGCTCCGCAGTGTCCCGGAGCCAACCCCGGGGCCTCCCGGCCAGCCGGACCCGCGCCCTGAAGATGATGCCTTTGGTCGCCAGAGCACCCCGCGCGTCAGCTTCCGTGACCCTCTGGTGTCTGAGGGAGGCCCGCGGCGGACCCTGAGTG